TCCTTCCCACCCCAGAGCCTCCGCAGCCAGTCCGGGAGGTGCCGTGCAGGGAAGGGCTGCGGGGCCGAGGTCGCGCGGCAGGGTTCCGGGGACTGCCGGGTGTAGGCGCTTTTGTGGATTGCGCGCGGCCACCTGGAGCCGACCGTGAATGCGCCACCAGCAGGGAGCTCAGGTGAGTGAGACCTGCTGATGCCTGAGACCCAGGCCCCTCCTCCCCCCGACCCGGGAGGTGCACCCCCAGCCTCCTCTCCGCTAAGACCCCGGGAGACCGCTCAGCATCCAGCCCCTGCTCCTCCGTGCACCTAGGCCCCGCATCCGGTCCTGGACCCGCAGCCCCTGTGCTCTTCCCACTGTCGCTAAGATCACCCCGATGGCGGCCCTGAGCAAGAGGCCGGTGGAAAAGTGGACTCCAGTGGGTCTTTTACGTGGGGAGGCGAGATTCCCAGAGGTGGGGGACAGGGTGCGGAAGCCTGAACTTCGCTATCCCGGAAACCATTTTGCACCCTCTCCCATCCCCACCCTCCCTGAGAGTCCCAGTTTCCTACCAGAGACCTTGGATTCAGTCTCCCCCATACCTCGGACTTGGGAGATAGGCCTTTAGCTCCCTCATTGCTGAGACTCGGGGCGTCTCCAGGCCTTGGCTCCACGCCTCTCCTGGGCACCGCTCCTCCTCAGACTTGCCATTCCTCCTCAGGCTCGGAGCTTGATCTGCTGATCCCCCTGCGGCCATGTGGGCTCCCAGCCGCCGCCAGCTCTGCCTGACCTTCCTGCTGGTGTCTGTCCTCTCTGCCATCTCCTTCCTCCATATCCACCAAGACATCTTTCAAAATGGCCTAGACCTGTCTGTCCTGTGTCCCTACGATAACCTGGTGACCTCCCCAGTGGCCATCTTCTGCCTGCAGGGCACGCCGCCGGCCTCCAACACCTCTTCCTGTCCCGGGCACCCAGGCCCCCTGTCGGGAACCTGGACCATCTACCCAGAAGGCCGGCTTGGTAATCAGATGGGGCAGTACGCCACACTGTGGGCCCTGGCCCAGCTCAATGGCCGCCAGGCCTTCATCCTGCCCTCCATGCATGCCACCCTGGCCCCGGTGTTCCGCATCACCCTGCCGGTGCTGGCGCCAGAGGTGGACAGCAGCACGGCCTGGCGGGAGCTGAAACTGCACGACTGGATGTCAGAGCAGTATGCTCACCTGAAGGAGCCCTTCCTGAAGCTCTCTGGCTTCCCCTGCTCTTGGACTTTCTTCCACCACCTCCGGGACCAGATCCGCCGCGAGTTCACCCTGCACGACCACCTTCGGGCCGAGGCGCAGCACCTACTGAGGAGGCTCCGCCTGGGCCGCACTGGAGACCACCCCAGCACCTTTGTGGGCGTCCATGTGCGGCGGGGGGACTACCTGCATATCATGCCCCAGCACTGGAGGGGTGTGGTGGCCGACCGCACCTACCTCCAGCAGGCCATGGACTGGTTCCGGGTCCGCCACAAAGCCCCCATCTTCGTGGTCACCAGCAACGGCATGGAGTGGTGCAGGGAGAACATCGACACCTCCCAGGGCGATGTGGTCTTCGCTGGCAACGGGCTGGAGGGGACGCCAGAGAAGGACTTTGCGCTGCTCACACAGTGCAACCACACGATCATGACCATTGGCACCTTTGGCTTCTGGGCCGCCTACCTGGCTGGGGGAGACACCGTGTACCTGGCCAACTTCACCTTGCCCGACTCCAAGTTCCTGAGGGTCTTTAAGCCCAAGGCTGCCTTCCTGCCTGAGTGGGTGGGCATTGATGCAGACTTGTCTCCACTCCAGTCATCGGCCAGACGTTGAGAGACGGGCTTTCTAGACCAGCCGAATCAATCTAGAGCCTGCAGTAGGTGTCTCCAGAGGTCTAGCAGCTTCTGGACGTTTGCCATCGTTCTCCGGCAAGTGGGCACCTGTTTCTAGAGTGATTCTGGAAGTCAGATTTGGAGCAGGAGGAGGGGGGCTTTCTGGAACTGCCAAAACATTCTAGAAACAACAGAATATCCTTTCCTGATAACTGGCAGTGTTTGTAATAGCTCAGCAGTTCTGCAAGACACAGTACCCACCCGC